TCCCATGACCCATCAGGGACGTAGAGGCACTACATTTACTGCAACCACAGGAGAAGTGGTGTTTCTTGGATAAGTTTGCCTGATGGAGCCCAACCCTCTCCAGGATGGTTTTTGAGTTCAGGGTTACCTTCTCTGCTCAAGGCTACAGAACCCATGAATATGTTAAAAATATATAAAGAAATGTATTTATGCCAAATAATCTCACCTCCCAATTCTCAAAGAGAATGATTGATATTATATAGCAGCTCAACATTATTTTCTTTGTTTTAAGGAGATTTTCCTGTTTCTTAATACTTTCATTGGCTTTTGAAAGACATCATTTACTCTTCCAATGCACTTCAGATTTCAGTGTCACATTTTCCATCAGCTGTTATAACACTTCCCAGATAGTTAAATTTTGTACTTGCTTGATTTTGACAACTCCTATCTCTATATTATAACTTGGCGAACATAAATTTTATCTTCTTACAATTAACAGTTAACCCTACCTTCCTTTACTACTTTGTCTAGGAGCTCATACAATTTTTTTTTCTGTGTCCTTCAGTATCATTTGCATATCTTATGTTACTAAGATTATGTCTATTGATAATAAATTCTGGTAGGGCTTCTAGTTCTCTTAAGATTGTCTCATTGTGTCAGCTAAATAAATCTGGTATGAAGTTTCTCCTTCCTGCAAGAGGAGTAAATAGGTTTGCCTATTGTCCAGTTCTGACTTATGCCTGATTCAAATCTATACTTCTAATATTTCCGCCTGAACTCTGAATCTTTATTCACTAATTATTTATTATATATTTTTTCTCTACCCCAATTGGAGTAGATAGGCTCACTTACCACCCGTTTCACACTCCTCCCAGGATTTTTGAATGCAAGTGGAAGTTTAACCTTTGTTCTCTCTTTATGATTGGGTTTCTAGTTCTTTCTAAAGTCTACTTCAACTCTCTACTTCTAACATTTCTGCCTGAACTCTGAATTGTTTTTCACTAATTAAATATTTTTCTCTCACCTAAAAGGCTTCTAATTCCTTCAACTTTGTACATCTGATTTCTCCATCTGAAATATGAGATTTTATTCAGTAATAATTATTATTTTATTCCTCTCCCAATAGGAGTAGGTAGGTTTGTTTAACATCAGGTTCACACCCTCCATGGTCTTTTGAATAGGATTAGAGGTTCATCTTGGGTTCCCAGTCCTTTTTGAAGTCTATACTTCTAATGTCTCTGGCTGAACTGAAATTTTATTCAGTAATAAAATCTTGACCTCTTCAAGTCAAAAATTAGTTGTCTATCTTACTTGTTATCATGTCCTTTCTTATTCTAATAAAGCTCCACACTGTAACTCTCTATCTCGAGTGGCTCTTGGGCCTTGTAGTGGGTGAACATTAGTAAGAAAAACTAAAATAACTTGCTCATTTCATTTTCTACCTATATGTAAGAAGTTTTCTCTCAGGTAAATATTCTGGATATATAATTCAAAATAATGTTAAAATATGTTTTTTCAATGATATATAAAGAAAGATGAATCATTAGTTAAATATTATTATTTTTTAAATCATTATCATCATCAGCAGCAGAAGTCACATGTCTTTATAGAATTGTAGTTTTGCTGCACAGCTGAGCACCTGACCTGTTCATTCCACATATCTTGAGAGGTGTTCATTCATGCATTGTGTGTCTTGGTCAAGTGAGATATGATGGGGCCCATTGCACTGCAGGTTAAACCACAGTAAATGTCCTCCAACTTGAAGGATCACCTCAGTTGTGAACACATTGATTCCATAATGGAAATCCTGGCCATTAACTTCAGTGTAGGAATCTCTCCACCCAGCAATGGTGTATCATCACCATACTGGCTATATAAATTATGAAGCCCACTATACTTGACTGTGCTAGAATGGCCATTGTTCTTAGAAGGTTTGTGGGAAAATGAAAAAAAAAAGCAATAAATAAAATATTAATAAAGAATTAAAAAAATGAAAGGGTTTTTGGTCACATGTGTGATTGTATGTCCTCACTTCCGGAGAGGAGAGAATCTTTCTCTTTCGACTTTCCAATGTTTCAGCAGCCCTGCTCATAAAGTAGGGATTTGGCCATCCCAATTCAGCATGAAGCTCAACCATCTTTACCTGTTCTTATCCTTACTTCCTATAAATTATTTCTGTATCAAAAAGGTAAATGGACATAGTCAAGCAAGAGACATTTAACTTTGTTTCAATACAGTCAACATAAAAGGAATAAATAGCAGAAACAAATTTTTTGCATGCTTCTTCTCTCTTCTTTGTTTATATATTGAACATGCACTTTCACCTTTAAATACACACAAAACTCACAATCTTGATAACATCTACAGGTTCATTCACCCTTTGACAGGTTTTAATTTTAATCTGGCTGTGTATCTAGCCGCTCTTTTTACAAGAAGCTTGGTGGGAGAGTAGTGTCATGAAAACAACAAAGTTGAGGAAACTGGTCTTAAGGAATATTTTTTTAACAATAAAAAATTCAATGAGAGGATATTGTCTTCTGTTATTGTTGTCTTTGGTTTTTCCAAATTTAAATGGAGGAGAACAAATCTAAATAAATTAATTTCAGTTGCTTCTAATTTTGGAATTCTATTCAAGTAATTGAGGAATCATTAAAACAACAATATGATGAAGAGAATACATGTCAAAAATTTGCAATAAACTGTTGTGGTGTCCTCCCTATTAAGAGTCTATGTTAGACTCTTCCACCTACCTATAAGATTAGTAGGATAGAAAGTTTCAGGGTAAAGTGAACAGTAAATAGATTGAGCACGGGTTCATATGATACACTCTTACTAGTCATGTAATACTCTTCTGGTGTACTTACTGTTTAATATATGATATATCTGCAAACATGGTTTTTGTTATTACTTAACCATTTACTTGGTCACAACATAAACCTTGACCAAAGAGAATCATTGATAATTTAAAAGGGAGGAAGAAGATATGTTTTAGTTTTCTTCACTGTTTAATATACACTAGAGACATTAGTATATCTGTGAAATAAATATACCAGGTGTAACAGCAAAATTGTTGATGGTTCTTGAATGAACTTTGAAGATGGAAGCCAGAGTATGAATGTTTGTACCATTACTGAAGGCCTTAATGATCTTTTTCTTCCCATCATTGCTCAGTTGGGAAGATAGAGTCAGGCTGACACAAAATGATTTTAACCAGTTCTCTTCCTAGCTGAGTAGCTCAAAGGGTTTTTCAGTGATTCTTATGATAAATGGTGACAAGATGGCTAAACATCTTATCTAAAAACCTGGAAAAAATAAACTCAATTAGTTTAGTGATTTTTTTTATATTAAACATCTTGTGGGATGGACAATTATCCCTTTGCCGTCAACCAATTTGGACAATTTTGCTGTTACACCTGATATATTAAATATATAAAACAGTGTACAGTGAGTGTTGCAGGTAATACAACAGTGCTCAATGAAAAATAACAGAGCTAAAATTTCTATCAATAAATATATATAAGTTCCTCACCATTTGCAAGAGTTGCACCAAACAGTGGTAAATAAATATATATTATTAATAACAAGTAGTTAATAACCAATTTGTGATCTATCTATCTATCTATCTATCTATCTATCTATCTAGATAGATAGATAGATAGATAGATAGATAGATCACATATTGTCCTACAGATAGTAATTAAAACACATAAAAAAAAGGTAAGTGGTATGTGAAGTGAGTGAATAAAAAGTTCTTATTTGTTACAACCCCTAGAGAGACATGAGACAGCTCTGGTGATATGTCTTATGTTCCTATTTAAGCTCAACATTAAAAGACTCAATGGATTGATATGTTGTAAAACAAATCAAGCCAGACTTATTTAAGCATAGGAATTGTACTGTGGTCAGCTGAACTGCAACTGAATATTGTAAACACCATCATCATGAACTTAATAGTAATTGACTATTCTCATCAATGAGCTGTTATGTGATTCTTAAGTGGCTCTTATGATAATAGTAAATTAGTTGTGTCAAAAGGGAGATGATCGCCTACATTCATACAATATATATTCATAAGAGGTTAAAAAAACTATACTTTTACAAAAATGGCAGTTAAAAATAATAGGTTGCAACTCAATAAACTATACATATACATACACACAAAAGTAAGCAACAAAAATGAACTGAAACTTTCAATAATTCAACTTTAATAAGAAATTAAAACTTAAAAAAAAGAGCATTTTTTTTAATATGAACAAAAACAAGTAACATTTACAAGTAAGTTATAGATTTATCTTTCACGGCTTATCAACCATTTGCTGGCTATTTAAAGTCAGAAAATATTATTGGATTGTAAGAATTTTGGGAAGATAATAATGCCTTACTAATATACATCTTACTAATTAACCCATAGATGAGGGCAAAAAGGTAGATTCATACCTTTCCAAGAGTATTTGCATGTAAGTGAATATAACAAACCTGACTGGAATTGGAACTTGGCTCTCTGATTTCCATTTCTGAGCCATTATCCATTAAACTACCTGCACTTCCAAGTGTTCTCAAATAGTCACCCATCTAGGTACTGACCAGGCTCAATGTTGCTTAACTACAGTGATTGTATGAGAACCAGAATTTATAAAGTAAGGAATCAAGGAACCATGTATGACACAATACAGAGGCAAACATGATGAGACTAGGGGCAAGGGAAATTAGTCTGAATGTACTGAGACTAAAAGCCCCCCCAAAATTCATGCATATAGACACATGCATACAAAGTGATACACGTGTGTGGATTAGACTGATAAGATGCATCTGTACTTGGTGGCAGCGGGTTCTAAACTCTCTGGAGCATAGGAATTGGTGACGATACTCTGGTGTTAGTGCTAATAGAAATTTCGGTGATAAGAACCCTTACAGATCTTCATTTTTTTCTATTATCTGCTCTGGAACCCTCATCCTACTGTAGTGCTTATCTCATTTCTTTCTCATCTTATTAACTCATGAACATTCCAAGAAGACTTTTTATGTTTCCTTTTTTGTTTCCTCATTTCATTCTTACCATGTTTCTTTTTTCTATCTTCATTTTTTATCTTTTTTTTTGTTCAGGTTGATTTTTTTTAGCTTTTATTTTTTCTTCTTAGTTTCTTTTGTACAATTATTCAGTCTTTTTTTTTGTTAGCATCTTCCTCATCCAGATACTTTTAAAAAGAGAAAAAAATTACAAAAATGTAATTTTTTCTTTTCTTTTTTCCATGTTTCTTTCTTCATTCTTCTAGCATTCTCTCTTCTCCATTAATTACCATTTCTCTTTTCTCTTCTCTATTTCTTTCTCTCTTCTATTTTCCAGTTTTCCATTCTTTTTTTTTTTATAATTTTATTTTTTAACCTTCTTTTTTTATTTTCTATTTATTATTTCATTCAAGTTTTCTGGCTTCTTCTCTTTACTCTTTCTTTTCAATTGTTATTCTTCATTTCTTTTTTTCTTCTTTATATCTTCTTTCTTTTCAATTTCTTTCTTCAAACTTTTCATGTTTTTTTCCACCTTTCATCTTCTTTGTTTCCCTTTACATTACTAGTCACTTTTAGAGGAAACAGCATAAACTTAAAGGTTTGGCAGAAATAAGAAAAAGACAAAACTTATTAAGAGCTACAAGAGACATCCTGAAAGGACACAGGACATAAAGAAGATATCTTTTTGTTCAATTTTTCACTTTCTTTTGTTCTTTACTTTTTATAGTTCTTGTTTTCTTCTTTTTTTACGGCATTGCTTTTTAACTTTTTCTTTCTCTTTTATTTCCACTTTTTTCAGTTTGTTTTTCTTTTTTGAATAGTTTTTCTATTTTCCAGTTTTTCCTCCATTCTTATTTTTTGACTTGACTGCTTTTTCTTCTTCATTCCCTTTTCCTTCTTTTACATTCAATTTTTCATGTTCATTCCCTTTTCATTCTTTTACATTCAATTCTTCATTTTCATTCCTTTTTCCTGCTTTTACATTCAATTCTTCATTTTCATTCCTTTTTTCTGCTTTTACATTCAATTCTTCATTTTCATTCCCTTTTCCTTCATTTACATTCAATTTTTTATGTTCATTCCCTTTTCCTTCTTTTACATTCAATTCTTATTTTTCCTTCCTTTTTCAATTTTTTACATTCAATTCTTCTTTTTCATTCTTTTATACATTCTTAATCTTCTTTTTAACTGTACCATTTTTCATTATTCTGTTTCTCCTTTAAATTTCCTCATCAATATTTTCCTTTGACTTCATTTATTTCTCTCTTTCTTCTTTCATTTTCTTGTTTTTTTTCTAATTTCCTTTCTCTTTTTTTCCTTTTTCATCTCATAATTATTTATTCTCCTTATTCTAATTAGCATATCATGACAACACAAGTTGCCTCTATCTAAATCCTCATAAGACCAGTAGTACAGTTTGTGAGAGTATCCTCAACCATTTTCAATTGGAAACTGAAGCAATACAATCATCTGAACTTCCCTGATGTTTCAAAAACATCAGTGTTAATTAAATGCAACCACTTTTTTATTTTTAACTCTTTCTTCTTCTGTTTAGTTCTTCCTATTTTTGTTCTTTTACCTTTAATTTTTAATGCTGTTTCTTCTTATTTGACTTTTTCACTTTATCAATTTTCTTTATAATCTCTCACCTTTCCTTTTTTTGTGGAAAACATTAATCAGCTTGGCAAGAAATCCTGTTTTTGTTTTAAAAAAATAGCATTCATTACAAACACTATATATTTTTATATTGGGTGTAAATGGGAAGCAGTTTTTTATTTGTGCACAATTGGTTAAAGAAAAATGAAAGTTTGTCAAGGATTTTTTTGTTTATTTTTTCTGTACTTCAAGCCATTTTTCTGGTTTCCAGGTAGTGAAATAGATATTGGCAGAGACGGTGGAATTGATGAGCCAAATTCCAATTCTTGGCTAGTCACCTGTGATCACTTTCGTACTAATACTTTTGGAAAATACATCTCTTTGCTTCCTACCTAGCTATGCATTAATTAGAAGGGTAGACTGGGATTTGTAGTGTTGCATGGAAACCACTCTAAGAGAAGGAAAATTATGAATTCCAAACTGTGGAAAAGGCAACAGGAAACAACTCTACTTGCTTTCCCAAGAAAAACAAAACAAATCTGTGAGGATTGACTATATCCTGAAAGAACATAGTAATAAAAAAGTTTGTATACATTTGGCTTCCATAAGTCATTATCAAAGAAATTTTGTTGATAACATTGTGACAATGCATAATGTTTTCATTGGGTTATATTAGTTTCATCTTTTCTCAAACAATGTCTCTTCTCATGTTATATCAGTTTTCTAAGTATCACATGTCAGTTTGTGGTGTCATGTTTTTAGATGATTTGTAATCAAATTTATATATATATATATATATATATATATATATATATGCATAAAAAAAGAATTTACTATAATTGTAGGAGAAAGTGCTTACTATTGCAGATTGTGTTTGCATCAGAAAAGGGATATTGGCCTATTCCAATTTTTTGTAGCTTTATGATTTTACATCAATCATTGTTTTATAACCACCAACACTCACTGTGCACTATTTCATATATATATATATATATATATATATATATATATATATAAGGTAATTGAGGTAATCATCAAGGAAAACAGACATAAAGAACAGAAATAATTAGTATATTTTTAAAAACATTTGTACACGTTCAACTTAGAAAAACCAGAAAATATTATTTTATAAGAATGCCATCAGCCTTGAGGATGGTCTCGATGTGGAAATGTCATTTTAGAATGCCTATTGCAGAATCATAAGGGATTTTACTGGTTGTTCTGATTGAATATCGATAGCTTCTAAAATGTGTGATCTTTTTACAATTATAATTTGTGTTATTCTTAAGAAGCTGACTTATACTATTGTAATTTTTATGTTTTTGTATGGTTTATTTCTGTATTACATTTTTAAGTCATAATGACAAGAAATAAAATTCCATTTTGATTTTGGAATAAGCATTCTAGAATGTATTTAAGTCATCAGAATCTATACCACTGTGGTCAAAAGAAGTTAGCTACTCTCTTTTGGGACATACTTTCAGATTTGGGAATTTACACCGGTTTCTTGGTATTTATCGCTATTCTTGTCACTCTATCCACTTTGTCATTCATTCCTCCTATCACAACTGTAGATATAGTATGATGTACCCTGGCAGAAGACCTCTCTCATTTCCATGATTGTCTATTTATAATGGAGAATCACCAATCACTTTTCTGGATGACAGACATACAGGCACCTCTGAATGGAGCACTAACACACCCGGATGTCCCTCCTTGATTCCATCCAACTATGCTAATATTATGTAAAGTTGCTAATGAACCAGTTTCTTGTGGGACAACAAAGAAGAAGTGTCTCTTTTGATGGAACGATGTACTCGCCTTCTCTCAAAGTGAAGTCCTACATGACAGACAAAGACAAACTCTCTTTGATCAAGAATAAGGCAAGTCCTGTTCACCATTTCTGCCATTTGACTCTGGTTATGGTTCACTATGTCTGCTACTCTCCCCCCTGGTCTCATGATCACACAAATAACAGTGCGAATGTGGTCTTTTGTTTGAGGTGCTCCTCCAAAGGGGGATTATCTGAACTTCTTCCTAGGAGGAGCTCTCAAAAGAGTTATCAGAGCTCACAAGATTATTATTTGGGTTCTCAGGTGAATTGTCAATCTCACATGGTAGAAGCTCAATCAGCAACTCACTTTCAGATGATTCATTCTCACTGTCACTCAAAAATGGTGTTGTTTTGAGGGCAGAGTGGAGATCCCCTACATGGTGCAGAATTCCATCAACCAATACAAAATGCTCTTTGATGATATCAGTGACACGCCCTTTTTTGAAGTTGGTGGTGCACCAGCTATTGGGAGGCTTTACCCAGATGGGGGTTACCCATCCTATGTGGTCTGCCCACTTCATTTCAATCAGGCTGATACATGCCATCAATCCTTTTGACTCATACCCAGTAGGTGTAGATTGCATTGGCAGGTGCACTTGTAGTAGACATGTTGTCCTTTGGTGTTGTGTTATATCTATACACTGCTTCCATGATTGTACACTGCTTTCTGGTGGCAATCCTTTTTACACTTTGGTGGCACCTTTCTGCTCTGTCATTGCCCTTTGGCACATGTATGCATTGCAGTCAAACCTGGATCCCCCAGTCATCCAGGAAGTGCTCAAACTGTCTGCTGCAGAAGGTAGTAACATTGTCAGTAAAGATTTCCTCTGGAGGTCCTCACTCATAAAACTCTAACTTCTGGATGACACTTGAAGAGTCCTACTGCGGTGATGGTTGCCAGATCGTGAATCTAGTGGGTCTGCAATCTATAAGCTTGAGGAAATGCTGGTCACCATAATGGGTTATATTCATACTTGCCTGATCCAAGTGCTGCTTACCCCCAGCTTTCCTTTTTGCTATTTGACTGATGCGGGGTCTATTAACTAGCATGTTTGGCACCCCTTGACTACAGCCCTGACAGCACTCATGGACACTGATGCATTGGTCAACCATAGAAAATAGCATGTCTTTCTTACACCAGGGTGCCTGCTGCAATGGTGTATTTTCATTATTTTGTCCGCCACAACCACATCACACCAGAGAGTTTCAAATCTCCAAAATTTAATATCACACTCAAGTGACAATCCAAATTTAAAAGATCATTCTAAAGATGCAAAATTTGAATTTCTTTCTTGATAGTTATTATCAAGAAAGAGATAAATTCAATGTTTGAATCTTTAGAAAACAAGCACCATGACACAATTCATTCCACCAGAAATTTGGAAACAGCATGCTGTACTGCTTGGCATTCATACCAAAAGCTCCAATACAAATATTTCAGAGTGTTTGGGTGCCAATCTAAGGACAGTGCAGCAGATTTGGAACAAGTTGAATGAGTCTAATTGTATAACTGTCAGGTATAGCATTTAAATGCAAAAGAAAAAAACATCAGTAATAAAAAGCTACACATAGTTTTTGCCTTACCAGTTGCACCCCTAACGATGATCTCAGAAAGAGATGGGAAATACTTGGGAAATAAAAGTGATTCTCACTGTTACAGTATATTTCTTGATTTATTTAATTGTAATATATGGAAAAATATTCATGAATATGAAAGGATTATGATAAAAATAAGCAGACATAATGACATAATGTTTGTAATTTATTCAGTCAGACATGCTTAATATATATATATATATATATATTGGCACAAATTTTTTCCTGTGCGATATCTATTTATCTATCTATCTGTCTATATATATATATATGTATATATATATCACTGTATTAATGAATATTCTAATATATCTTTTAAAGTGTCATTTATTTCTCACTAGCAGTAGAGCCCGGCATTGCCTGGGGATGTAACAGTAAGAGATAGATCAAGTATTGACCATCATAAAGACTGAAAAATAAAATTGATAAAGATTATTGTTTAAGGTTGAGGGACACGCATGTCTTAATTAGTTTTTTTTTTTTTTTTTTTTTTTTTTTATTAACTGGTCAAACCCAAACTCAAACAAAAACATTGTTTTCAATCGTTATGAGTCTACCGATTGAATAGAATTTTATTATAAACAATTGCCTTGTAAATGGAATTTTTAAAGCATTCTGAATGTAAAAATAAAGAAAAAAGACAAAAGAAACACTACCTACCAAAAAAAAGTGAAGTTTTGTTGAAATCGGTTGAAAACTGTAGGAAATCCGATCCCATATATAAAGGAACACACACACACACACACACACACACACAAACAACCTGGGTTTTATAAAAAGTATAACTCGATATGAGTTGTCCCCCTTTCATTCTCATGACAGTGATGCCTCTTAATCATGTTTTCAAATTGATTTCATGCAAAAACAATTGTTTTTCCAATTTTTGGCACTGTCAGAACCACTGCAAGGTAATTTTACGTGGTCCTGTGAAGTTTTGTTGAAATCGGTTGAAAAATGTAGGAAATCCGATCCAATATATAAACAAACAGACACACACACAACCTGGGTTTTATAATAAGTATTATTTATCTCTTTCTACTCCCGAAGTTGTTTACATTTTTTTTTTTCTGAAAGACTTTTCTTCTCCTTTATTTCTGAGCAAGGCTGTGTACGTTTGTGTAGATTTTTTGTGTTGTCTAAATATTTTTCCTGTTTTTTCCATGACCTTATGAATTCCAGATTCTGAAAAATGAGACA